TAACTATCGGAAAAGAATTTGGAAGAAGTTTGCAGTCGGACGAGGGCACGTTCGGAGTCGCAAGGGCGGCTTCCGAAGTGTGGGACCGTGAGGAGTCGTCACTGTGCCTTCAGCGATGTCATGAGCGAGTCGGCCTTGAAAGGTATTGGCCAACTAGGACATTCAGAATTGGCCGGCACTGGTGTGCACGGTTCAACTATACAACATGTGCCCGTGGCTGGGCCACATTACTGGGGCCTAGAGTCGCCTGCGAGCCGGAGGCTCTATCTCACATAAGCCACTGTACATAATACGCCACCATTACTAGTGTATTTATCTTTCCCTTACAAAACGGAACTTAACCATGATAACTGTCGCATTCTGGGTACCAGCAGTACTTACACGCTGATCTGGCCATTAGGCTGGTCCAGCGCAACTCATCTGTGGCCTTTTGTAGGGACGCGGCTTAACGGGTGTGCAATGCTCGTGCTCTCCCCTTTTAGCTTCTGTTGTGTATTCCCCCATTTGAACGTGTTGAGGAAACAACTGGATAATCACCTCTGAAAGGCTATCACAAACATTAAAACCCCTGTCCAACAGATAAAATCTAGGAATATAAACATACTGCTTCCTCGATTTCAACAGACCTTTTTACCCTAAAGTTGGTTTCAGTGAACATTTCATTGTGGAAATGCGAAGAAAGTGTTCTACGCTGCTATTTTGCAAACGCATCACCATTTCAACCATTCATATTTCTTAACAATTTCTACGCAAGCGATTTTTGCATATTCATTACACTTTATGCATTCCTGTTCAGTATAAAGGCATTTTAATGGCTTCTGTTTTTTACTCCAAGTCTCATGGAATAGATGCCCCCGGCAGCAAGAATTATTCCGCCTGCTTTATTGTCATTAATGATGGAATGCTGCTCAAACATTACGTCACAATCGGCCACCCCATACCATTGGGCACATTTTCAGTTTCCAGACCGCGTATTTAATACAAATAAAATTGTATATTGAAGGCCAAAGGGGCTCTTTCATTAAAAACTCAGTGTTATCGTAAGAATAAAAAATTAAAATTGGTAATAACAGCTGCGAGTAAGCAACGGCATGACAACATGAATTAGTAGTATGTTACGCGTGGTAAGATAATTCAGCATAATTCAATATACATAAGGGAGATAGGCAGAGCCTTTGAAAACCCTATTTGCAGATAGATGCTGTCAGATCATGCATATTGTTCAAAGTCATATATACATTATGTAAATTGTTGTTGTCTTCCAAATGTATGACCAGCAAGCAAAGTAAGATCAAG